AAAAAAAAAGAGGAGTATGTAAGAGAAAAATTATTTCCTACCAGTTAGGCAGCAAGCACTATGCTGGATCATTTACATACATTATCTTAATCCTTTTAACCAATACACGAGTAGGATGTTATTAACCTTTAAAAGATATTAAACACGCTTTGACCTACTGCATTTCCAAACAAGAGTGAGATGATTAAGGCTTTATAACCTAATAAAGACATTAAGATTTATGAATCAATTTATTAATCAAGAAATGTTCACATCTACTTAGCCACTAATGGCCATTTGGAAATGAAGTTACAAATACATTACACTTCAGGCCCAAGGAAACATCCCTAAATAGCCAAGGGCACGTGCCTGTTGTGATTTAGTTTTATTTTAATAATAGTTTACGAGCGAGGCATTTATTTTTGCATTTTTTTTCTCAAACTGAGTTGGTGGGACTAAGAATATTAGTAAAAAGTCACAGGTGCAGAGTCATACAGCAAAATCTCTGAGGTCCTTGAGGTTGAAATATGAGCTTAGTTTCCTCTCTGTCTTTCCCATTCTTCACACTTCACCGACACGTGCTGTATCTTAAAAGTCTCTGGAGACAGAATGGTACCTTTGGTTGTTTCCTGTAAATGTCCAAGAGAATTCTCAGAGCATCCTCTGGTTGTTGTCACGGGTTACAGCGGCAAAGCATTTGGAAATTCAATGTGTTGTCTCGAATATGTCCTTGTATATGGATACAATCCATCCTTGCACTGAAACGAATGGAAGGGATTCATAGTCCTCGAGTCTTGCCCCTAAGTTAATGCCCCAATTATTTCTAACTTATCACATAATAAGAAGTGTGCACCCAGCTACCAGGGCAGATACACCAGCAACCCGCAAGGAACAAGATCAAGTGTGACACTTTTCAGGAAGCCTGGGAATCACCCTGCCTTCATTTCTTATACTGGCTCCTGTCGGCTGATAGTTTAGATAAGTTAGCGGCCACATTTCTGTTATTCAGAATAAGTAGATATTTTTTCCCCTCCAGATCTGCTGAAAACATTATTGCAACATTGCAAAGAAGAACTGGGTCAAGGAGGACTAGATGCTTTTATAATGTGAATACACAAACTTTGAGTCACTGGGGGATGGTGGCAGGACCAGGGGAACAACTGTGAGCTGTGAGGCTCTGACAGGAGAGTGGGAAGGCAGAAGTTTCCAATCGCCGTTTTGTCTGGAAACCTTCAAGAAATTTTTATTTTCTGCCTTATAGTTCAGCTGATACTAGAGATGAGAATGAGGGTGGGCTGGGATTGTGAAGGGCTAAAGGGCAAAAACAAAACAAACCTCCAGAGCTTTGGTCTGTGCTTCCTGAAAGCTAGTCAAAGCCTTCACATACTCCCAGAGAAACCTGGGTGTCTTCAACTGCTATAAAACTCTTTAAATGTATCCCCCTCCCTATCTCTCTTTCTGTCTCTCTCTCTGTCTCTCATGTGTATATGTATCACACAGACACCCAAGTGTCACAGAGCATATTTTGAGAACATAAGATAAGTATGTTCAGTTGGGGTTATTCTATTTTCATACAGGGCTCCTGGGATCAGTTACCCATATATACATATATATATGGGTACCCATATATACACATACATACACACACACACACAAACACACACACACAAACACACATGCCATTCATAGCCTTTCTTTTCTGCATGATCCCATGATGTAGTCCCACAGATAATGAAGGTGATTAACACAGTGGTGAAAATTGCCATTGAAATAACCCATCGCAGCCGTGGAAGCACACACTGCACTTACAACTTCCTCCCCATAACAGCTTATTAACCAAGCTCCATCTTAGCAAGACTTTCTGCAGGACACAACAGATAGTGACTGAACTGACTTTGAAATTTCCTGCTTCATGGAAATGTCTCTGGATACTATGGGCCTGTAGGCCAAAGATGGATGCCCCAACGGTACAGAGAAACTTTGGGTGACTGTCCAGGCAGTGAGATGTCTCTGTCATTTCTAGAGTTTGAAAGTTGCGAGGCAGAAATCCTTAATAAATAAATAAATTTAAATAAAAAAAACCAAAAATAAAATATATAAAAAAAAAGAAAGTTGCTTATTTCTTGTTTGCTTAGGTAATATTGTATCTTTCTGGAGTCTTTGATGGAGTTGAAGAATAGATAGATAGTTATAGTTATAGTTTTCCTTAGTTATGATAAAGATAAAATAGATGTAAATATTGTAACTTTTACTTGATAACTGTTTTGTTATATGTAATTTTGCTATGTTAAAGTTAAAGCCTTCCTTTTTTTTTTTTTGTTTAAACAGAAAATGGGGAAATGATGGAGGAAGGTCATTGGTTAAAAAATAAAGAAACTGCTTGGCTGGCCCTCATAGGTTAAAACATAGGTGGGAGGAGTAAACAGAACAGAATGCTGGGAGGAAGAGGAAGTGAGCTCAGAGATGCCATGCTCCCCTCTCCCGGGCAGACGCGATAGCTCTGCTCTCTGAGGCAGACGTGATTAAGCTCCGACCCAGGATGAACATAGGCTAGAATCTTCCCTGTAAGCGCACCTTGGGGTGTTACATACATTATTAGAAATGGGCCAGTCCAGGTGCGAGAGTTAGCCGAGAAGAGGCTAGAGATAATGGGCCAAGCAGTGTTTAAAAGAATACAGTGTCTGTGTAATTATTTCAGGGCATAAGCTAGCAGGCGGCTGGGGTGCTGGGGACGCAGCCCCGCAGCTCCTACTACAACTTAATTTGAAATATCAATGTTTTTTTTGAGACAGGGTTTCTCTGTGATGTCTTTGTCTGCTGGGGCACTTGCTCCCTAGACCAGTTTGGGCTTGAACTCACAGAGACCTGCGTACCTCTGATTCCTGAGAGATGAGATTAAGGGTGTTTGCTACCAGTGCTCAGTGAATTTTGTATTTTTTCAAAAGCCAAACAAGTATATAATCAACTTTTCCCTAGCTGTTTACACTGCTTATATTCTAGCCGATCTGCACATTCTTCCTAGTGATTCTTTTCCAATTTGTGATAGTATTTATCAGTTAGACTAGACCCACTGCTTATATATCACTGATGTTGACAAACTTCCTCCGTATTTAAATTGTCCTACATAGTTAGAGGACACTAATAACTTGATATATTTTAGTAGCTGGGGTATGCTATACCTTGGCATAGATAAAAGTAAAGAAGTCAGCCTACTTTAGCACTATCTCATCCTTGAAAGGTATCAAGTTTTTTTTGTTTGTTTGTTTTTGTTTTAGTTTTTTTTTACCTGTGTCCATGGGGGACTCCAGAGATTGGAATAAAAATGTCCTGAGAGTCAGAAAAATGTTTCCTCTGTGAAATATGGATTTTCTCGTGGCTTTTTTTTTTATCAAAAATAAGGGAATAGTTATGGGTCTTAAGGTCAGAGTGCATGGATTTATATGCTGAAGGCAACTGTAACACTATGCCAAAACATCATATCCTGTGTGTTGAATCTTTTAAGTTAGAGTTATTCATTTTGGTTTGTGTGAGTATTTTGCCTTCATGTATATGATTAGTGCTCTCAGAGGTCAGAAGAGGGCATCAGTTCTCCTGGAACTGGAGTTATGCATGGTTGTGAACTACCATGTGGGTGCTGGGAATTGAACCCAGGTCCTCTGGAAAAGCAACAAGTGCTCATAACCCCTGAGGCATCTCCCTAGCCCATGATATATATCTTATGATATATATCTTTAATATTTTCCATTTATTTACTTTCTACATCTGTGGAGTGTGGCATGCCATGTACATGGAAGTCAGTGAGAACCTGTTTTCTCCTAACACCATGTGGGCTCTAGGGATTGGACACAGACTTTTAGGCTTCCCTACTGAGCCATCCTCATCCTGACCTGTTTGGTATTTTAAGATGAAAGAATTTAGGTAGACGCTGAGAGAAACCAGATCACCCAGCACCTGCTGTTTCTCCTCCATTCGACTTCTCTACTCCTGTCCCTTGGTCCTCTCAGACTTTCTCACAGGCTCCACCTTGTCAAACCAGCTGAGGAAAGAGTAGGGTAGAGTCATTGGTTTAAGTCTGCCTTTTCATATGCACTTGCCCCTCACATAAGGCTTCTGCTAAGGAAATGCGTGCTCTCTTCTCTTTAATCTGTCTGGTGTGTGAGATTCAGCCAAGAACCAAGCAGGGCGGAGTGAGGCTTCTCTCCTCTAATCTCAATTTACCATTGTGTGACTTTGAACAAATTGCCGGTTTTCTCTTCATCAATAATTGAAGATGAAATACCTCCCGTAGAATGTTCTCTTTGAACACTTGTTGCCCAGCTAATGGAGTGCTGTTGTGAAGTGTTGTAGAACCATTAGGATGTAGACTCTTAAAAGAGGAAGTGAAGCAGTGTGTGTGTGGGGGGGCGGGGGGCTTGACATTTGGTAACCCCATTCCTCTTCCCTTCCTGTCCACTCCTTGTTTCCTGATAAGGGATATAACGGTGACCAATCCCATCTGTCATCCACTCCTGCTGCCATGCCTTGCCCTCCAGGATAAACTCTAAGCCATAATAGAGCCCTCTTATCAGAAGTGGTTTTGGTAGGAATTTTGTCACAAACATGAGAAAGTCACTAACAGAGCCCATAAGAGAGTGGCAAACAGGAAACTTTCACTAAGCTCAGAATCATGATTTAAACGAAAAAAAAAAAAATCACTGCTCAAGCCTCACTGTAGCTAAAATACTCATTAGCTTTCCCAGGCAAGCATAGATTTCATCATATGCTGGAAAGGCCTCCTCAGATAGGCCTGAAAATGTGGAAGTCTGATTTGTGGTGTTTTCCATAGAAGATAAACAATCTCCCTAATCCCAGGTCAGTTCATCAGGGAGATTCTTCCAGTGTGCTGGTCCTGACTTCATCACATCCAAACCTGAGATGAACTGGAAGGTGGCAGCTTATGCTGCAAATCCAAGGCTGGGAGTTCCTTCTCTTCACTTTCTTTTACAGCTAGCACCACCAACAAAAGTTCCCAAAGCAACGAGATTCTGCATCTTTTAATGAAAGTTAAAACAACAATATAAACATACACAAATTTACAGAGAAGAGGTCAACTTTGATACATTTGGAGTAAAAGGTGTTTTCTCATTTAAATATGGTATAAAAATAAACGCAGGAAACATGAACAGACAATGTCCAGAGAACAGACAAAGACGGGCGTTTGTTACAGACGGTGGATACAAGGGTGGAAGGACACCTTCTGTGCTAATTTGTTATTTAATAAATGTGAAGCCATGTGTATACTTATTGATATATACTTTTTTTTTCTTTTACAATTCTTCCAGTTTGTGACTGACTGAATTCTCAGTGAACTGCGTATCTAGCGGAAGCTTAAGAAAAGGAGAGGAGGGGGGAAAATAAAGTTTACTTCACTTGAACTGGTTAAAAAGGAAAAAGACACAGATCCAGCTTAATAAGGGGGGCAAGGGAAGCAGACGACAGGTGGAGATGGAGGCAATGGGGTGGCGAAGAGTCCCTTGGTGGTGGCGATGCCTTAGTGTGCGCACAGGAGAGAACAATTCAGGTCCTTCGTTCATGCAACATCTCGGTCTAATGTCCTCGGCTCCAGGTAACAGCAATGGGCTACAAAGTATGGGCGATGGCTCCGTTCAGCTTTCGTGTCACCAAGACGATCCTTTTAGTAAGACTGAACAAGGCTTGTTAACCTCTTGGATGTGAGAGATTTCCCCTGAGAAAAAAAATATCAAACGAAGAAAGAAAGAAAATAATTCACAATCACTGGAAAACTGTACAATAGTAGAATTGAGCTACTAGAGCAGAAATTGGTGTTAGGGTCAAAACTGGACCCTTGTCTTTTGGTGTGTGGTCCTGGGAAGCAAGCCCTAGACCTCACACATAATAGGCATGTGCTCTAGTACTGAGCTCTGCCCTCCTAGACCCCCAAACTGAACCCCTTAAGTCACCCTGAATTCCAACATCATGATGAACCCTCTCCCCTCCCTCACCCTTCCACCACAAAAACATCAAACAAATGACTCTCCCTCCCCAAACACTCCCTCTCCTCCCAGCCCCTCCCCACCACTGCAAACAGACTGATGGGGTCACAGCACACACTAGCAAATCATAAACATGTCCAGAAACGTTCCACGGAGGCTGAGCTATGAGGCAACGCCTAGGTTCCCAACCCAGAATAGACATCCTAGCACGAATCTGCATCAGATATTCTGCAGGACAACAATGTGAATGCATTTGGTCAAGTAGGTGCTTGGGTTGGGGTGGGATTGAACTACATAGCGTGCACATCTGAGGATGTGATTGGTAGAAGCTCAGACTGGAGTCTCTCCCTTGTAGTTAATGGAGGAAAAGAAGCCAATTGTGAGTCTTGAGATAAAAGTTTATTTATTCCTCTTTCAAACAGTCCACATTGTTTAGCCATCCCCCATTTGTGTTTTTCCCAAACTGGAATATGTATATGTATATATGTATGGTGTGTGTGTGTGTGTGTGTGTGTGTGTGCATTAAGATACATGGAATATAGAATATATAGTATACATATACATGGAATATAGAATATATATGTATGCTATATATATATTAATTCCACATATTTTGCTATTATACTATTACAGAGAGTATGTGGAATTTTTTGTTTCTTTCTTTTATAAAATCTTGACTACCAAGTTGTTTTTTATAATGGCGAGCATGCTGGAGCTATAAGGGATTTGATATTTTTAATGAGAATACAGATTATTGACTGGTGAGTTGTCTCATGACTCATTTTCTAGGTTTTGATATGAAAGTGATTGACCTATTCATTGAATTTCTTTTTCCTTCAAAAGGGATGAGATAGGGACTTTTGGGGAGAGAAACTACAGTATTTGGGACATAACTTGTGTCACAGCTGAATCCTTGACTTGATGCCCAATGTGGTTGAGTTTGATCAAGGGCTGTGTCAGAAATCATCACTCACAGCTATCATCTCTATCTGTTGATGAAGTGAGAACACAGGAATTGAGTGCTTGTCAAAGGGAGAAATGTGTTTCCCACGGTCCAGAGAGCCTGAGTGTGCTTTGTTGTTATTGCTGTTATTGTTCTTGCTGTTTCTGAGAGGGCTTTCTTCTGGTCCACAAATAGTACATTCTTTGGTCCTCGCGTACGAGAAGAGAAGAAGCTGCTGGCGGCCTCTTTCACAAAGCCCTTAAACTTGTTTGTCAAACCTCCTCCCTTAAGGTCTAATCATCCTCCATGTCTGACCTCCTAGTCTATATCCTTGCCACTGTAGAATTTAACATGTGGTATTTTTCTTGGCTGGGAAGCACAAAAGTTCAACCCCAAACTGCTACATTTTAGTCAAAGAATGATATGTTTAAGAAATGATTAATAACTCTTTAATTGCTAGTAAAGATTAGTAACTCCATAATTCATAATTGATAAGCTTTCTTTATACCTTTTATGGTCTTTGACTGACAACGTGGCAGGCAAGAGAAGCAAGACATTTTCTCTTGTTTGGAAAAGGGCTCCTAGCTTGGTTTTCAGTGGCTGGCAGCATATTCAAAGAAAGCATCTCATAACAGGCTATGCTTAGCTCCTCTCCTCCAAAGAAAATACCAAAAAGCAGTGTGTAATCCGCATACACGTCTTGCCCATGATAGTTTTGCAGAACACATCCAAGTGAGATTTTGGGCCTCCATGTGAGGGCACAGGAAGAGGCTACCATCATGAATGACAAAATGGATTCCCACAAGCCATGGAATTGGCTGACATCTTGAACCTGAATTTTCAACCTCTAGTACTGTGAGCAGTGTTTGTGTTGTATTAGGGTATTTTGTTATAGCAGCTCAAAGCGATGAAGACTTCTACTTCCAATCCTGTACCTGTTTTCTCAGCCTTAAGTGGAGACAATAATTGCATCTGCTTTAAAACCTCGCTTGGAACACTGATGCAGGCACATGTTTTAATATTGTTCTTAGCACATCCTTGGAGTCACTTTATCTTGGGTGTGACCTTACTATTGTAAATGCTGCTGATACTACCTTTTAAGTAAAGAAATCTGATCTCTTAGGAATTCCAGGGCCGAAACTACTATTCTGATGCTCTGAAAGGCAGAAAATCACAAAGGAACTGAAAACCAAGGTTGTTCTCCTTTTCTCCATCCAAAATAGGCAATAATGTATTTAATTGGTGTTACCATCAAAAAGCACTTTTCTGTGCTTAACGATGTTACTCTTTGCTGTATTTGCTACTGTAGTATGTGTTACTAACATACACACATACATGTGTAAGCACTCATTTATTCTGAGATGAAATAATTTGTCTTGAAATGGGATTTACTAATGTCATTAGTGGAGAAGAAGGAGAGAAGAAGGCTAGGCCAAGATAGAACTATTTCTCATAAAACTTTATGTTACCGTGATTTGGGTCAACATTCTGAAAAAGAAGACTAAAATAGCTGTACTGGAATAAAAGGTCATTTGAAACCCAGGCACAGTAACAGTTTATCTAGATAGAAACCCTTGTCACTTTTAATTTATACATTTAACTTAAAAGGGGACATGGTTCTTTTCTTGTGGTTTTGTTTTTAAGTTTCTGCAAATCATAAAGACGGCTAACAGACTTCGCTAAACATAAGTTCTGGTCAAAGGTGAACCTGACTAGCTCTGTCCTAAGACATAGCTTAAAAACTCTTCCCTGGAAGCCCACAGTGAAGCAGTGTCACGGTCAACCTGGGGGATTGAGATAACAAAGAAACAGTGATCAGAAATAAGAAGGTGTGTGAGCCTATGCCCATGTGTAGTCCTGACTGTCAACTACACAACAAGCTATTGGTGTTGTGTATCACAATGATGAAAAAGGGACACTGGGTGCAACTAATAGTGGACAGATCCTAAGAGCCTGGGGTGACAGCAAGAACATGCGTGTCTGGTGGCTCACCTAGATTTATAGATCTAGACCCTGTGCACAACCTGCCTTGCTTCCTTGTGGAGAAGACCAGTCCTGATGTTGGTGCTCATAGAGAGGACTCGCCCTATTGGAAAGTATTAAAGGCCTAAGAACACTGCTCTCTCCTCCTAGGGATGTAAGCATGCATCTTTTAAATTGTATATGAGCCATTTACAACAGCATTTTGAGTCAGTGCCCTAGAAACCATGTAGAATGGTCCCCGACCATTATTTTTGGATAACTACAATGAAGGACTAGAGAGATTTTCATGGCTAAATTCTAAACTCTCTACTCTAGCAATGAAAAGGGATGAAGAAAACCTTACCAGTAGGATTCACCTACAAGATTGCCTGATCACAATAATTTGATAATTTCATATGAAGAGAAACTGTCTTAATCTTGGGACTACATGAAGGTCAAGTGATGTCAGCCCCTCCTGTCTGTCTCAGGGACAGGGACCACAGCAGAAACAAGTCTACAGAAAAGACACAGACATTTCAACCAAATCCCAAACTCAAGAGACTATAAGTAAGCCTTTGTGGTATGTAGCTGAGGGACAGTATGTTAGAAAAACAAGAGTGTGTTCAGTTTCTGAACCGATCGAGCTTGGCACAGAGGTGAAGTTGGAGCACCAGCTGCACCTGCAACACAGAGTCGTCTAAACAAAGTTCCATGTGTCTCACTATGAAATTTCACCTTCATCAGACCACACATTTCCCTTCCCACATGATTCCAAGAGGTTTTCTGTAATTAGGAAGAGAAGAAACAACAAGCCCCCAAACAGCAACTCATGAGGTGTTCATTTTATGGTCTAGGTACTGAACCCTGGGCCACACACATGACTTAGCACTTGACCACAGAGATGTTACCTCAGCCCTCTTACTTAATTTTATTTTTAGATACAGTCTCACCAATTTGCCCAGGATAGTCTTGATCTCATGTTTTAGGCCAGTGTGGTCTTGAATTTATGATCTTCCTGCCTCAGCTTCCAAATTGTTGAGATTATAGACAAATTTACTCACAGTTATGATTTTAACTGATTTAAAAACCTCATTGTTAGTCATAAAGCAGAGAGATGAAACAAGGTGCTTAGAGTCCGTGAGAATGGACAGGAAGGCCAGGCTCTCAGCCACAGTCTGAAACTTGGGGTGATGGGAACAATAGTTTTCCACTTCCCTTTTCTGCTTAGCTTGACCCATAAGCAAGCACAAGGAGCTACGTTTTCCTGAGTGATCAACTCCATAAGTTTATGATCAACATGGAAGTACACACACAGTTCAGCAAGTAGACTGAAGAGTGATACGAGCTGAGCTACCGGGATACAGGGATGGGCACCAACCTTAGCCTGACCTTAGCATGAAAAGGCCAAGACTACACTTTCACCTTTCTGTTTAACTCAGCTTCATAACTCTTGCTATTCCATCACAGTTCCTGGAAATACCCACATTGCTGCTAGACGTTCCTGTAGACTTATAAGCACATTCTAGAATAATGTCCCAGTGATTACTTGCTCACTGATTTAGGTGGTCTGACGAATGCCTAGTTTCTAGGCATGAATCAACACCATTGACCGTGTGAGCATACTCATATAAAAAGATGAACTAAAGACACAATCTCTTTAACTCTTGTATTGAAATGTTCTTGTCTCACTATTTGCCTAGATTTCCAAGTCACTCACTATCTGGCTTCTCTGTCCCTCTAGTCTGCTTGGTGTCACTTCCCACATGGTTCTTCAGCTGACTTGGCACCTGATGCTCTTTCAGTCAAGACTCTCTCTCTCTCTGCACA